CAGAAGAGAGTTCTGTCCATAATCCCACATAATAGGCTGAAATGATATATGAATAGGGCTCATCTCGAAGATTTGAGACAGTATCCTCTTGAAAAGGAATGAGAGGTCCAAAATTTGAAATTTGAATCTTGGGGCAACATAACTGTGGTCCTGGCTACAAGTTTAGACAAAGTAGCGGGCAAGTTGAGGCAGACCCACCCAGCTGCAGAAAGTTGCCAGGCTTGCACCTGAGAGATACTGTTGCCTGGCAACCCACCCAGATGACCCTTAGCTCCCCACCCAGATAGCCCCTAGCTTGTGACCAAAGTCACAAAGCCCTGCTTCTAAGAAAAACCCCAAGATGTGCTATTTGCTCCCCCTCCCTAGCAATGGCCAAATCAGCACATAACAGGACATTACAGGTGTTGCTCATGATCAGATATCCTCCAGATGGCCAGGCCAGGACTGATCATGGTCTTGGTGCCTAAAGCAGACCAATTATTTTAAAAGTCAACCTCCCTTACCCAATCATGTGATGCTAAGGCTTTGAAACTCCCCACTTGCAGTCCTCTCCTGCTTCAACAGGGAGCTTGTGACCCTGGCTCGAGCTTGTATTGAATAAACTCTCATGTGTATTGCAACAGACTCGATTCCTGGTGGTCTTTTGGAGTCTCATGATATAGGCACAACAGTTTGTGACACCATCAGCTTTCCACCAGGGCCACCTGAGATTCGTCATTTATTCTGAGGAAGGGAGGGCTCCCCTCTTTCCTAGAAATTTGCCTTTGAACTCCTAAAGCTTGGCTGCCAGACAGGCTGGCCAAAGCCTGCCCAGCCACCAGGAGCTCTAGAGACCACTGGAATTCATAACCACTGGAAAGGCATCTCCTGGGCCTGGACCTATTTTACAGTGTCCTGGGCCTACACTTCGCTGGACCTGCCCTCCTGGCACCCTGGGCCTGAGCCTTGCCTTTGTGTTGCAGCAGCAAGCCAACCAGGCATGGGCTTTTCTCTGCACCCCTACCATTATTACAATGGGTTAGTCAAAGGGCTGTAACACTTTGGTATCATCACAGGCTTCTGGAACTCCTTAATTTACAGTGCCTCTGATACTGGCAATCTTATTTTAAAAAGCTAAATTGTAACACTTGATGGAAAACTCACTTCCATCTCTCCAGGTGAGATCGGGAGCCTTGTCTAGTGCATGACCCTCTCCCTAAAGAGGTCTAGCTGTTTCTGAGAGATGTGGGACCTTGACCTCGCTCCTGTCTGGAAGCCTGGGCTTGGTTCAGCCCAGTGGAACCTAACAGGCCCTGTGCCACACCCCAGCAGCAGTGGCATGGGGGAGTGTCAGGTCCTGGGGACCATCCAGGCCATGAGAACAACAGATTACCACCTCTGTTTCACCTATTAACATCTTTACTTTGATGTTTGCAAAATCATGGTTCTTATAAAATCCTTCAATTTTAACTGGTCATAGTTTTTGGAGGGGGGAACAGTTTTAATAAACAGCAGTTAAGTTTCCAGGTTAGCTAAGAAGGTATTGCTTAACTGAAAATGCATCCTTATTATAATAATTATTGTAGGAATATGGAACGCACAGGCTTTGTTATGGACTGAACTGGTTTCCCAAAAACTCATTTTTGAAGTATTGATGATCCTTCTATTCAATACTTCTAGGAGTTTTGGCTTCTGGATGTTGGTAGCAGAAATACAAGGCACAAGAAGGCCATGGGATTGTTATCTGGCATTGTTCCTGTTAGTAGGTGAGGTAGAAGAACTAGAAGAACGAATTGAGGGAAAACTCACGTGGGATAAGAATGAATTATCAATGCTTGCGTTCAAACCCCAAATACATCTTCAGTAAAACTTTTGGAAAATTATTTATCCTTTCTGTGGTTAAGTTTCTTCATCTGAAATATTAGAAATAGAAGTAAATAATGAACTCTAAAGAACTGATGTACAGCTGGGGCTGGGCAGAAGAGGGTAGGCAGAGCTAAGGTTCCCAGGTTTGGGGTCAGAGAAGGACCATGAGGCTAGAAAAGGAAAGGAAGAGAGAAGAAGATGGAAAAAGAAGACATGCCTTGATGGAGCAGATCCAGCCCACACAGAGTGACTTAGTGGCCGGTAACTTGGGGTGTGGGGGAGATGGCTAATTAGCTTAGAGGTTGATGTCTACCTAACCCTAGTGTTTTAAAGCCTATAAAACAAATTATAGTCTCTGTGGCAACTACTGGGGAACTAGCTGGGGTAGAGAAGCCCTCAAGAGTTTAATATTTTTCTACAACATACATGGACTTGGAATTAACAAGACTTGGGTTCAAACCTTACCCCTGCCACTTAGTAGTCCTGAGACATTGGGTAAGTTATTCAGCCTCCCAATACTTCAGATCATTTTCCTTTATGGGCCAGTAGGACCAGCAATGCTCTACTTACATGACTTTTCAAAGTCAGATCACATATGTAAGGTGTCTGGCTAACACAAATGATATTATAAGGATATAATTATTTTACCGATTAAGTGCACTCACACTTCAAGTGTTCATACTTCTTTATTTCCTATATGTGTATCTGTGTCTTCAGTGACTGAACATTTTCTGTGGATATGTGCATATGCACTAAGAGGTGCGTGTGAACGTGTCTGTGTGTGGGTGTGAAACTGTGGAGGTTAGAGGTCAACTTTGAGTATTTTCCTCAACTGCTTTCCACCTTGTTTTTAGGGACAAGAAAGGTCTCACACAGCCTGGGAATCTATCATTTTGGGTGGGCTGACAGGCTACTGAGCTCTTGGGATCTACCTGTCTCCACCCAGACAGCTCTGGAATTACAGACATGCATCGCTTTACCCAGCTTTTACCTGGGGATCTGATTTCAGGTCCTCACCCTTGAGCAGCAGAAACTTTACTGACTGAACCACCTTCATACCACTTCTCAATCAACTTAACAAGCTACTCTCATAGTCATTTGAAAGATATAAAGTATCCATGTGAGAAAGAACACGAGGAAAATGTCTTTACTGTATATACAAAAGTGAGACGGTAATTATATCAGAGCAGTATTATTATAGATATGAGTACATCAAAGAAAAAGAGCAAAGTGCTATACATGGTGGTTTCATGTGTCAGAAAGATAGCATATTTGTATAAGATGCAAATAGACTGTTCAGGCTGGGTGGGGGTGGCGCATGCCTTTAATGCCATTACTCAGAGGCAGAGGCAGGTGGATCTCTGTGAGCCAGAGGACAGCTGGTTTACAGAGAAAGTTCCAGGACAGCCGGGGCTACAGAGAGAAACACTATCTCGAAAAACCAGACCAAAAGAAAACAAAACAAACCCCGAATAACAAAAAAACAAAGAATAGTCTGTTCAATAAAATAGTGGGCCCAAGTGCCCATTTGCGACAAATAAACAAAAAACCAAGAACTAATTTCCTATTTCATTCCAAATACCTCATTCCAAGTAAATCCCATGGTATACAAGGTCTAAAAATAAAGCCAATGACAATAAAGAACACTACACAAGGATTAGAAAAGGCTCTATGTAAGATAGACAACTGGAAACTATAATTTTTTATTATGAAATAAAGCTCATGTACTTCATTTGCATTGTTATTTCTTTCCACTAACAGTAATAATACAAGCCATAATCTCCAATGTGATAATCTAATCATTATGGAAAAATCTTCCTGTATTTAAAATATTTTAGCCCTAAGTACAATGGGCCCAAGTAGCAAGGCAATTTCTCATACATTCACACTACTAAATATAATGAAGCGATTTTCAGCCAAGCAAGTGGGAGCTGGGTGTCGGTGGTCACAATTATTCAAAACCTAAGTGAGACATAAAATAAATTGAAAAATTAAAAATAACACTGTTTCTGTGATTCCAAATCACATTGTAAGGTGAATTTCTCAATATTCACAGCCATTTCAAGAGCAGTGACTCTAGAACTGAGCACAAGAATAAGAAAGTCTAACCATGTCGGTCTCACAAACAGAGCAAACATTTTAAAATGGAAACTCTCTTTTTTAAAATGCCCACTCTCTTCCTCTTGCACTTTTGATTGATATCCTTGGGATATATTTCAACACATTGACAAGGTATTCACAAAAGCTTTATCCCTTAAGTTTTATTCATTTGAACGTCTTTTAATTACTTGTCATGATTTTACAATGGAAAATCATTTGTAACTGATCTGGATGTAGAATCTATTGCACTTAGGGTCGATCTACAGAAACGAAAGGTACTACAAGGACTTCTCCAAGCTGGTTCTTAACCATATGCAGAGTGTAGGCCTCTTTTACTGCTCCCAGAGTTTTGGTTTTGTTTGATTTGTTTTTCCCCCCTAGTCATTCTGCCTTAACAAACACCTCCCGCACTCAAAAATTCTTTACTTTCCCATCAAGGTACCAAACAGAAATTCTTTCTACAGTTTAATAAAAAATTTCAAAGTTGGAAACGATCAGGAATTTGATAGCCACCTATTGTCTAATTCCTTTCTATTCTACAAAGCCTGCGTGTTGCTCTTTATGATAGAAAGTTTCTATCCAACCTTTCCTGTCTTTCGGTGAGGAAAAAGAAATTAGCGTGGGTCTCGAGGAGATACTCGTTCATAATTAAGAAAACTTCGGGATATAATCCAATCCTTACTTCACTTTTAAAAAATCTCGTTTAACGTTATTTTCTCGGACAACCTAACGTGACTTTCCACAGAACAGGAATTCTATAAATGTAACAAGGCGAAACGCTTATGAAATTAGTCTGAAGGAATTCCTCCTTCCACAGCAGCAAACCTCAAGTATTACGTCTAACTTCTGGAGACACAGACAGTAGTCCTTCGGGATTAGAAGTGAAGGTGTTTGAGAGGAAAAAAATCTCCTGTTTGTGACTGGAGAGGTCATAAACTCCTAACCTCCAGCCCATGAAAGAAGCGGCTGAATCCCTAATCATTTTTGCCCAGACAAGTAGCAAAGATGTTCCCGGGCTTTCCGGAAAGCTGCTACGCACAACCCAACATCCTCACCTGAGGGTTCTCACAGGGACCGAGGGCTCGTCATAAACACGCAAGGCAGAATCAGAAGCCCGGCTGCACGGAGGGGCCACGCAACTGTCAATAGAAGCCCACTCGCCCTCTGAAGGTTCCCCCAGGCAACCAGCCTTCCGCTCTCCCGGGACTCACAGCAGTTGCCTAGGATTGCGACTACAGTTCCCAGGAGGCTGCGCGGCGGACTGAGCGGCAGCCTTCCCAGAATGCAGCGCAGCGGCTTCCCTGTTCAGCTCTCTCCTCTCCCTGCTCCGCCTCCTTCCCTACCCGTCGTCACCCGGGAGGGCCGGAGGTAGGGAGCGTCGTGAGCCGCCGGGAGGGGCCCGGGGCGGGGTGGAGGGAGGATGGGAGGACGGAGGGGAGGGAGCGGCGAGGGGAGGGAGGGTAAATAGTGGCCCGGCAGGAAGATGGCGGCGGTAGCGGAGGTGTGAGCGGACCTGGGTCTCTGCCGTTGGCTTGGCTCTTCCGTCTTCCTCCCCTCCTCCCGCCCTGACTGAGGTTGGCATCTAGGGGGCCGAGTTCAGGTGGCGGCGCCGGGCGCAGCGCAGGGGTCACGGCCGCGGCGGCTGACGGCTGGAAGGGCAGGCTTTCTTCGCCGCTCGTCCTCCTTCCCCGGTCCGCTCGGTGTCAGGCGCGGCGGCGGCGGCGCGGCGGGCGCGCTTCGTCCCTCTTCCTGTTCCCGCACGCCCCGGAGCGGGCACTCCTGGCCGTGCCATCCCCCGACCCTTCACCCCAGGGACTGGGCGCCTGCACTGGCGCAGCTCGCGGAGCGGGGGCCGGTCTCCTGCTCGCCTGTCGCGCCTCCATGTCGGATAACCAGAGCTGGAACTCGTCGGGCTCGGAGGAGGATCCGGAGACCGAGTCCGGGCCGCCTGTGGAGCGCTGCGGGGTCCTCAGCAAGGTGAGCAGCCCGCGGGGCCGCGGACCCGCTGCCCAGACTCACCTGCCGCGGGGCGAGGGGAGCCGCTCGGGACCTGGGGTGGGGCTGGACGGGAAGCACCGACTGTCCCGGGGCGGGGGCTGCGGAATGTGCTGGGGTGCGGGGCCGAAAGGTCGTCCCGGAATGACTGACAGACCAGAGGTGGAATAGGGGGTGTTTGGGACTGTCCTTGTCTCTAGCCCCCCAATCCCAGGGTCTTACCAGCTTTGGCCAAGGACCGTGGAAAGCGTGGATTAAATCTGCGATGCAGTTTGGAAGGCAAGGTGCATCTGGTAACTTGGAACCCAAGGCGTCAGCTGTCTGGGGTGTAGGAATCTGGGTTGGGCCACGGTGGTGTCTGAAGTACACCATTTAACGCCAGGGCGGTTAAATCGACCTTTCAAACAATATTGTTTTGGAGGTCCCCACCAGAATAGGTTGGGGCGGGGCGCGGGGGGGGGGCGCGTTCAGCTCTAGAGGGAGTCATTTAGGCAAACTAGTTGACTGGGTTTGGCCTTGAAATCTGAGATAGTAAACTTTGAGGTGTGAGTGATCTTTGCTGTAGAAAGTGTGTAGCACTTTTGTACTTTACCCTCCTTGCCCAAGTTCAGAAAAGAGCTATTGAATTGGCTATGGATAAGAAATATTAATAGTAAGTTGGAACGTGTCAGAGTGAAGACCAGGAAAAGGAGCATTATTTAGCAAAACAGTATTTGTACAGTAAGGAAAGACATTTCTGTTTTTTCCCTCTGTACAATTAAAAGCGCCTATTCAAAAAAAAAAATTTTTTTTTCTTATCCTAGATAGCATTTTAGGGCTGCAAATAAGCGATCTCGTTAATAGTTCACAGTGTGTTATATTTTACGTGCTTGCTGTGGGAAGACTCAGCCTTTTTTGACTTCCCTGTTCTTTCCTGTTAAACTTTAAGACATGCTTAGAGCTAGCAGTTAGTTTCTAGAGGGAGAGTCGGGGCTGGTCCCTTAACAAGCTGGTCATAAGATACCAAGTCATGTGCTATTGGGCATTAAGAAATCTGCTTTCAGTGTTCTTGAACATCATTTCTGGAATTGTTTGAAATTTAGGTTATTACGGTGTCTTTAGCTGAACAGAGAAGAGGCCTGGAATAGACTTCAGTATGTCAGATGCAAGGCTTCCAAGTGTTAACTTTTTATTTACATAGTATAAAATTATGTTGTATTTGATACTGTGATTATTCTCAAAATTGTAGTGTAATGCTTTCAGTAAGGTTTATTTCCCCAGTGTTTACAAAAATTTAATGCATCCTTATAATTTAAGAATCTATATTGAACACATTGTATAATAAGTTTGCATTTTCAAATGGTTATGAAACGGGGTCTTTCAAGTGGTTATGAAATGAGGTCTTTGTCTCTCCTGATTCTGATAGATTCATTTGTCATGAGAAGAGAAGCAGACTGCCATATTAGTATTTTGTTGAAGTGTTTTATGAAACAAGCTATACTTTTGACTGTTTGTTTGTTTGTTTGAGACAGGGTTTCTCTATGTGGCCCTGGCTGTCCTGGAACTCAGTCTGTACACCAGGCTGGCCTTGAACTCACGGAGATCCAGCTGCCTCTACCTCCTTAATGCTGGGATTAAAGGAGTGCACCACCACCACCACCACCACTACCCAGCTTACTTTTGACTTTTTGATCATCACTTTTTGTAGGTTGAGAGATTGGAATGACTGATGGAAAAAAGTCATATGCTCTGTGATCTATCGTACACAGAACAGTGTATGAAGTATTATGTGAATCTGAACCTGGGAGGCCAGCAGAGTTGTACATTAATGTAATCCTAGCATCCAGGATGCTGAAACAGGAAGACTGCAAGTTCCAGGCCAACCAACCTATCTGTGCAGTAAGGCCCTGTCTCCCAAAATCATTTCTTTAAGGACTGTCGTTGGCATTTAAATGTGTAGAAATACATTGACCATGTCCATGAAAGGGCAGTTGTTTTAATTTTTACTGTTCTGTATATATACAATCAACAGGAATAAAATCTTTATTAACAGCTGTATAAAAAAATTCCCTGAAATTTAAGAATTTATGGTTGTACAGCCCAGTGTAGTGGTGCACACATTTAATCTATCACTTGGGAGGCTTGAGGCCAGCCTGGGTTCCAGGACAGACAGAGCTACATAATTGAGACCCTGTCTCAAAAACAACAAAATAGGGTTATATATAATGTTTTTTGGAAACTTTTATTTGTGTGTGTTTGCGTATGTACATGTGTATACCTGCCCTCAAGGCTAGATATTTTGAGACCAGGTCTCTCACCAAACCTAGAGCTTTCAATTTAGCTGGACTGGTTGGTTAGGAAGCTGCAAAGGTTCTCCTGTCTCCAGCTCCTGAGCTTTGGGGTTATAGGCATATGCCAACACAGCCTGGCATTCTTATGTGGCTGCTAGGGAGCAAACTCCGGTCTTCATGCTTGCATAGCACGTGTTTCACAGTCTGAGCCATATGGCTATTTCTGTTTTCTAGAAGGTTCTCGGTTTAGTTTTGGACATTGCTAGAGAGCAAAGCTAGTGGCACCATGCACTCCAGGTAAGTGTGCTGCTGTCCTGTGACTGCGGCCTCAGCTAAGGGACTGCATACTGAGTGCACACATGCAGATTGTGGAGGGCGCATGTTTTTAACCTTAAAGAACAAGGGACGTGCCTTTTGTAATTTACCTGATAGTTGAAGCAAGACTTAGTTTTAAGCATGTTTTTTTTTTCCCATCTGCTGAGTTATATAGATAATTCCCAATATTAATCTCTTTTCTTCCTTGTTTCATAAAATGGGATGGGTTTGGAATTGAGGGGATTGAAATTTGTATCAAAAATATGGTATTACATATGCCAGGCATGGTGGTGCACGCCTGTAATCCCAGCACTCCAGAGGTAGAGGCAGGTGGATCTCTGTGAGTTTGAGACCAGCCTGGTCTTCAAAGTGAATCCAGCCAGGTCTCTGTTAACCAGAAAAACCCTGTCTCGAAAAACAAAACAAAACAAAGCAAAAAAAATAGTCCCAAAAGTTTTTTTCCTTTTACATGATAATCAGAAATACCTGTGAGACATAGTTTAATCATGTCTGTTCCAGAAATACTAGATAAGTAGTAATTCCATGTAGTTATGACAGGTAAGAGGGAACATGATATAAACATGGAAGGTTTATACATTAGCACTTAAGCAACTAAGCCTGGATAAATGAGATTTTAGCCAACTTTGCTGCATCTCTCCATGGTTACATTACATCACCATGCACATGTTGGCTGCTTGCTGGCTGGCTTGCTTGAGACAAGGTCTCATATACCTTTGGCTGACCTAGAACTTGCTATTTAGAACAAGCTGACCTCAAACTCACAGAGATTCCCCTGCTTATCTTCCAAATGCTGGGATTGAAGGTATGGGCCACCATGTCTGGTTCTTTCTTTTGAGATAAAGCTTTGCTGTGTATGCCAAACTGGCCTCTTAACTCATGACCCACCTCCCAGAGCTTCAAAATGATAGGATTGTAGGCATGACCTAGCATACCTGGCTCTTTAAGTCTGCCCCAAATGCTGTCCTTTCCATATCCTTTATTACATAAATATTCAGTATTACTTATCATTAATCTCTGTATCATTTTGTGCAGAACTTTGTTCTGACTCTTATTTTTTTGTTGTTGTTGAATTTATGATTACCAAACTTAGCAACAGGAAGGAGTCTTTAATTTTCCTATAATACCTAGCTTGCAGTCTGCGTTAAATAGATGAGTGGAAACAAATATGGAGTAGAGAAAAAGGCAAAACTGCTTTTCTGGTGTAATAATAGCAAATAACATTTATTGAGTCTTGAAGTTTATGCCATTTGTTGCTTCTCCTATAAGAAAATAATACAGATCATAAACATACAGTCACTAGAGATCTTCTTTTCATTTTACCAAGGTTGGAGAGAGGTGTTAATGGTTAAGCTTACTTATCTATGCATTATGATGCTGTTCTAAACTTTTCTATGTAATCCTAACTCTAAGAGAGAGACTTCATTGACAAACACAAAGAGGGCAACATAGCCACAATTACTAGCTAATAAAGGGTAATAATGGGTAGCAAGATAGGGTTAATCTATGGAGGTTCTTAAATGCTAGTTTGGCCCATTAATGTGATAGAGAAAGGGAAATTGTCCATGTAAATTTCAAGGCTGGAGTCTCAAGTAAACAAATATGCTTAATAATATAATAAGATTATTCTTAAAAATAGAGGTTAAGAGTGGTAAAATTACTAAGACTTCTCTAGAATCTAGGAAACTGAACTCTTTTTTTTGGAATCATTGAAAATTGAGAAGACAAGAAATATTTAAGGGTTGATAACAAGGAAAGGTTAATAAGAGTTGGTGATAAACTAAGAGGAAAGGAATAGTCAGGTATTAGGTGTCCTGTATAACAGTGCTAGTTATTTTCATTATTTTATTCAGCTGTTCAGACAACAGGTGAAGAAACAAAAGTACCCCATCTATTCCCTCAGCACAGATAGCAAAATTGGCGTGTTTAGTCCTGTGTTTACTTTTGTGTTCATGTGTCTGGAGCTAAGCCAGCTTTTGTGTCCAGGAACATAGGGAGGAAATACACCTTACAGAAGGAGGTGATTTCAGTTGTGTTTGTAACTATCC